AGTCTTTAAGGTGCCACCAGACTCCTTGTTGTTTTTGTAGATACAGACTAACACGGCTACCCCCTGATACTTAACGATATTACAAGATACCCTCCCACTCTCTTCTGCAGAGAGGCCATCTGGGGGCTCCCAGCCCTCTGAGCCCACACAGGAATGCCCTGCAGCAAGCCAGGATTCCCCAGACCCCAGCTGTCTCCATTCTAACCACCAGACCCCCCTCTATTCCCTGCAGTGGGAGCAGAACCCAGGCACCCTGCTCTAACTGCTACCCTGCAGATGCCGCCCACGTCCCCGGGGCGGGACTCACCTGCGAGGGTGCTAGTGTGGCGGAAGGCGCGCACCTGGGAGTCGGAGAGGCCAGTGAGCAGGGAGATGAGGGTGTCCATGAGGTACTCGTCGTAGATGATACTGTACTGACAACGTCGCACCAGCACTGTCACCAGCTCACAGAATCCCGCCTGGAACTTTCGCCAGGGCTGGGTGGTCAGGACCAGCGGGTACTCGGCAGAGTCCTGCAGAGGGGAGGAGAGGGAAGGCACGAGGGGTGAGACTGGCGTGAACGCCGACGTGCCCAGTTACACCTACGTCTGGCCATTTTCTAGATACGGGGGTCGTGTGTGGTCTCCACTGAAAGCTAAGGGTTAGCGGATCGCCATGGTTACTGAGAAATGTTTGCACAGGAACTATTTTAAGAGAGATGTAAAATATAGACTCATTCTGTTCCAAAACTGTGGGAGCTGAATTACGTCATCTGAAGCAGGGTGCGTCCCAGAGCTAACTCAGCCAAGAACGAGGATAATTAACCTCTTTTGACCCAGCCCAACCCTGTGTTTACAGTCTGGGCAATATGCAGGCCTGAGCATTTAGACAGAAGAACCCCCAAAAAAACCCTCTGAGTAGGGAACCCTCAGGCCTAAGCTGAGGTTAATGAAACACCCTCATTATGAAAAGAGACAGAAAGTCTGGGAGAAGGATGGGCACAAGATGTGATCCACTCTGCAGGCAACACTCCGTCAGCAGGAGTGTCTGATGAAAAGCGGATCCCAGCTTTCTGGACTGGACAAATGCTGTCAGGACGGACCATTGGGTTAGAAACACCTTATGAGGCTGCTAGTAAATACAGGCTACAGATTGCAAGTCAAA